GAGGGCCGGGGGGGGCCTGGGGGTAGGGTGGCCAGGTGTCCGGTTTTCAACCAGACAGTCCAGTAGTTGAGGGTTCTGTCCGGGAAACCAATTGAGAAAATACCGGACATAGAAATGTCTGGTATTTTGTAATTAGGTAAGCTTTATTATTATCCTACCCCGTCCCGAGTATTTGCAAACTGCCTGGCTGGCAGACACAATCACACAGCGTGAGCACATCTACTGGGCAGTTCACAGCTACAGACTGATACACCTAATTATAATAAAAACTTACCTAATTAGAAAATACCGGGCATTTTATATGTCCGGTATTTTCTCAATGTTTCCCCGGACAGAATCCTCAAATACTGGACTGTCTGGTATAAAACTGGACACCTGGCAACCTTACCCCTCCTTGCACCCTCCCTCCTAGACAGATACTCTACCCCCAGTCTGCTCCTACTCCCGCCTCGTGGAGTGCTCATGCAGTGCCAGGTCCCCCAACCCCAGGCCCAGGCTGGGCATAGGATGCAGCCGGGTGAAACACTGAAAATTTATTCATTTTTCATTCTTTTTTTTATATGTGTTTATATTTTTGGGCTGCAAAAAACAGTACTGGAAAAAAAAATGGGTTCCAACTAAAGTTAAAAGTTTGGGAAACTCTGGTCTAGCCAGCTTTCTATCCATCTTACCTTAAAGTAAAAAATTTGGGAAACCCTGCTCTAGCCAGCTTTCTATCCATCTTACAATCCATTTATCCAATCCATATTCCCTTAACTTGCTGGCAATATCATGGGTGACCGTATCAAAAGCTTTGCTAAAGCTGGCACTGGGGGCTTTGGGAGGTCCAGAAACAACTTATTTTAATATTCATCATTTGCTTAATGAATATGCAAATGAATGTTACCGGTCCTCCAAAAGCTTGTGAATTGATTTACTGGTCCCTGTGTCAAAAAGTTTGGGAACCCCTCGTCTGGAGCATGGAACGGTGGGGAGAAGGGGGTCGGGGCACTAGAAGCTTCATGAAGTGAAAGGATCTGGACTAACAGGCATTATACTTTTCTAGACCAATGTCTGACTCAGATTCATTTCCACGTTATCATAGCTACTCCAGATTTGTTCCAAATGTAGCAGACTCCTACATCTTACTCAAACCTAACCCTCCCTGTTACAGGTGATGGCTGAAATTAACGTCTAATTGCCTGATTTGTGAGCACAAGCAGCTATGTGTCTACATAACATCAACAGCACACGTAAAACGAAGTAGAGAAGAGGAGTCCTCTCTTTAGAGCCAGACACCGGTAATTGAGGCAGGATACATTTTTTTTTAAAGTGTTGATAATTTTTTTGCAAAGTCATTCACATTATTGTTCACCATTTCAGCTTGTCATCTCTCCTATGGGATGTACATTTAGCAAGACCTGCAAGTATTTTAAATCTGGAAAACTGGGATTTATTTCATTACTAGCTGGTGAGAAGATTTAGCTCTAAATTAAAAAAGAGGACAGCTTTAATTGGTCAAAGCTATAAAGTCAGTTCAGTTTTGGAAGTGGTTTAAATTCAGCACTTCACAGTGTAGGAACTGATAAGCTCTTAATGAAGAACAGACTCCAATGGACAAATACATGTACTACTGAGCAAATTGGAAAACTTCACTTTTCATGTTCATTGTCCAAGAAAAGCGTACTGGCTGAACCATGCCATGTCCCGCCACTTGACCTCTTCAGTGAAAACTCAATGAAAGCAACAGGACTGGTTTTGGCCAGATTAGGGGAAAGGTGGGCCTGATGTGAAAATATACATAGTCCCTTCAAACACGTTTCTATAGTTTTTCACACCACTTTATATACACAGCACAAAATTATCACAATTTAGAAAAGCAATGCCCTTGTTTGAAGCTTCAACTACACATTGGTTTGTGTGTATAATATTTTGAAATATCGCTGGTTGATGAGCAATCACACTTTAAGTTCCACTTATTAAGGGTTATTAATAGCTGTTTTAATAATTAATCAGCATGGACTCTAACAAATCAATAGCTATAGCTTAAAACCACCTATCACACACACTGCAGCAGTGCTTATAACCATACATAACATAAACACTATCCATGTCTGTAACGTAAGATATATAATTAATCCATTATAGCCTATGGAACTTCCATATTAAGATGTGTGACCAGCTGATCTTTAGATACCAGTGAGGATCTGCTTCTGTTGAGTCTGAGTTCACTCAAAATTGAGGTTTTATAAAAATAACCTTTTCCAAAAATTACAGCAGATACATGTATATCTGAATTTAGTGGTTATTTTTAAAAAAGAATTCCAATAGAAAACAAAGCAAACCAATAAAAAGGCCCCTGCCAGTGTATACAACCCAAAAAATGCAGCACAAAAAATAAATTCAACATAAACCAAATTAGAACTAAATAATAGCCCAAGCTATGAGAAATACAGCAAGCATCATCGCACCCTTTCAATCACATAAACTTAAGACATCAAAAATCAAACAATTCAATTAGAGAAAACCTCTCAGATGTAATGGCCTTAAGCGTTTTTGTCATACAATGGTCAAAATCATATCTGTACATTTTTCGAGAGTGCACTTGCATTTCTCCATAATAGAAAATATAAAATGCAATCTAAAAATTGGAATTATTATTTCAATACACTGAACAAATATTCTACCTGTTCACGACATACTTTAGTTTAAAATGAATGTAAGTTATCATCAAAAAACAAAAACAAAAAATCCAGCTTAAAACTTTATTGGTGAATGTTTTCTTTCCATAAACAAACAAAAATTCACAGAATAATTTGGCAAAGATTCTAACTTAAGGAAAGATTATGGACCTCACTTTGATCTCATGCCTGATTTACATCAGCATGAATGATTTATAGGGAACAGATTGTAGAGTCAGAATCAGGTCCTGTGACTCTACAACATATAAAGTCACAGGGCCATCACAAATACTAATCATAACTATGCACAGGTTTACTGAAAGCAGTTCAGGTGTAGTATATCCGGCAGGCTGGATGTCAGTCTCAGATCCCATCATAAACACTCCAGCTTTAGCAAAGAAATGTAGGTTGCAAAGGGAACTTTTCAAACCAGGCTGGAGTTCAAAGAGTAGGCACAACTTTGATCTTATTGTCTTCCAAGCCTCAGTCATCTTTGCAAGGGGAGAATATTGCAGCTGAAAAAATGTAAAGAAATAAATTAGGTCTTCTGCATTAAATCCAGGGTAAGAAAATAGAGGGAAAGATTGTTTCCTCATCCCTTTTTATATAGTAAGATCAAAGATTACAGAGTTCCCTTAGCTGGCCCTTTCCCATCCTGTTATACAAATATAGCGCCTCCCCGCCTCACCCCATCCAACTACTTAGGCTCCCTAGTGGGCACCCAGCTGTATCTGCAGAGGGAAGATACAGTCTCCACAGAATTCCAACAGACTTGTGAACCTCAGTTACAACATAGCTGTGTCCCAATTAAAGATTGTTTTCCCTGGACAGACTAATAAGCTAGGTTATCACAGCATTAGAGGATCCACACTCAGGGTCCAAGCATAATTTTTCTGAGCCCAGTACAGACTTTTAACATGGGCCTCTTCCCACAAATGTACCTCAATTTGTAGCCTAGGCCAGGCCTTCCAGGACCTCTAGGCCCCAGTAAAATAGATTTTCTCCGCCTCCACACATGGGAGCCCTGTCTGCATTACATCCTGAAAACACATGGGGCCTGTGTCCCTCAGACACACACATAGTGTAATTAATACTCATTGAAGTCTAATTCCTTCATTGCAGGAACTAACTCCAGGGCTGTAACATAATCCAATAAGATGTCAGAACATGGCTTAGGCCAGTCTACTCAGGAAAACGGAATCATATTATAAACCAGGTGGAGCACAACAGAGTACAGCTGCAATCTGTATAGTGCCAGGAGTGGTCACCAAAGCAGGCAGGTCAGAAGTACCCACTTGATAATGAAGGTAATGATAGTGAAGGAAAGCCAATTTGGAGTCTACCTCAGGTAGAGAAGCCAAAGGGGATTCCCAGGGAATGGTGATCTGACAAGCAGCAGGAAGATATGAGTGCTCTGAAGAAGGCTTAGGCTCCATTCTGCTTAATAATGGAATTTTCCAGTTTAAGGCTGGCTAATGACATGCCAGCTCATATACTTAGCTAATCTGAACTCAGAGGCTATGGAAGGAAATGGCAAGCTTACCCCAGGAGTCCCTTCCCAGCCCAGCACTTCGGTGTGAGCCCAAGGTGTAATTTCTTGCCGTTACGGATCACGGTCACACTTAATGGTTTCTGAAATGCAAGAAAAACAGTTTTTCCTGTCAAGCTGGCCCTACTCTCATTTCCCTGCCCCTCTAAGAGCATCAGAATGGCCATACCTGATCAGACCAATGGTCAATCTAGCCCAGTATCCTGTCTCCTAACAACGAACAGTGCCATATGCTTCAGAGGGAGTGAAAACAACAGGGCAATTTATAGTGATCCATCCTATCACAATCCCAACATCTACTGCTCAAAGGTTAGGGACATCCAGAGCATGAGACTGCAATCAATGAGCCCTCTAATTTTTTTCCCCCCATCAATGTGCAGAATACATTTTGTTATGTGCACTGAGGAATGTGCACCACCAGTACAAACACAGGCTTCTTGCTTTGGGCACTAATCTGTTGGGTGGCATTTGATTAGAATTGCCAGATGGTTTCAACAAAAAATACCGGACACACTTGACATTACATCACAATCTACCTTACATCTTATTTAGAAAATACTGGACATATTTTCTCAATTTGTTGCCCGAACAGAAAGCTCAAATACTGGACTGTCCGGTTCAAAACTGGGCACCTGGCAATCCTAATCTGAATCTCTCCTGTCTGGCCACCCAAGTGCTCATTTTACAGGGAACACTGGTTGCAACCCTGTCCCTCTTTTTAATCTACCCTCACTTGAAAATTGTTCTGTATCATTAATTATTTGTTGCCCTTCTCTGTACTTTTTCCAGTTCTAACATATTTTATTAGATGGGCCACCCTGAACTGCAAGCAGTATTCAAGGCATGGATGTACTCTGGACTTATATAGTGGCTTATATATGGTATTTTCTGTCTTATTATGTATTCTTTTCCTAATGGTTCCTACCACTCTGCTTGCTTTTTCAACTGCTGCTGTGCAGTGAGTAGATGTTTTCAAAGAACTATTCACAATGACCCCCAGATATCTTCTCTGAATGGTCACAGCTAATTTAGACCCCATCATTTTGTAATTATAGTTGGGATTATGCTTTCTAATGAGCATTATTTTGCATTTATCAACACTGAATTTCAAGGCCACATGGCAGGGTAACTTCTTCCTATGGTGGAGAGTTAAAAGTTCCTCTCTTTTTGAAGTTTATCTCCACTGTTCCTTGATCAGCCAACAGCAAGCACTCTCAGTAGAGACCAAGCATTACACCTACATTCTGCTCCCAACTCTGTCAGCTCAGGAAAAAACCTCACAATTCTTAACTTTTCTTCACTGGTCTTAGGGATAATATTTAATAGCATAGCTATAGGGCCAACAGTCACTTAAAAAACACAAGCAGGAGGAGCCTGATGTTCGTTTTCCAGAGTGGGAAACTGAGACTAATGGTCTCTTTGAACTATCACAAAAGAAAAAATATCCAACCTTCAGTTCTAAGCCTGAAAAGAGAGCTCAGCCAAAGCTGGTAACCTGCTCACCCCTTCGCTGTGCTGCACCACAGTGGCAATATTCTGCAGGGACTGGAAGTTGTGTGTGTCGACAGAGCCAAATGCAATGATCTCATCATCGACCTGTAATCCCTTTTCAAAGAAACAAAAGGAAACTCGCATCATTTGCCCTCAAAAATACACAGTGGTGTGAGTTCATATAACATCTTTCATCCAAGGCTCTTTACAGCACCTGATAAATATTCAACTAGGTTGCAGCTCCATTCAAGAATCTCAAAGCATTCCTCAAGAGTTAGCAGATTTCCTCAGAACTGCCATGGGAAATAGGGGGGTAGTATTTATTATCCCTGTTACACAGATGGGGAAACTGAGGCACAAAGTGGTGGCATGGCCTTACCCAAGGTCCTACAAAGTGTCAGTTGGAGAGTTAGGGAAGAACCCAGTTCAGATTTCCATCCCTATGCCTGATTCATTAGCTAGATATTCTAACATGGCCACAGCTCTATAGGGTATAGCAATGCGTACTACTTTATACTGTCGAGGCGAACAGAAATAATTATGTCCATGAGGAAAGTTACAAGCACCCAGCAAGAATCTGGTTTAAAACAGAACTTCAAACCCTGCACCTGATTACAGGTGAATGGGGAGAACCACCTGCCATATCTGGGGTCCAAATGGCAGAGTTTCCGCCGTTGGAAGCAAGACAATTGTACTTGCCGAGATACTAGCAGGAGAGCCTGGGGTGACAGCATTCACTCTTGCAAAGGGTTGAGGCAAACTCTGGTCCTGATTCATTGCTTCGGCCTGAGCTTCGGCCTCATCCTTTGCACGTTTCTCCTTCTCTCGGGCATGTAGCTGGTGGAGGGCTTTTTCCACCTGAAGCATTAGGACCTTGTGATCATTCTGCAAACCTAAGGGCGAGACACATTAGTGCAGAGAAGACAGGAACAATCACGTTTTCATTTAAGGTCCTTACCTAACAGATACATTTACCTCTCTGTCTGAGATTTCTAGCTTTCAATTAAAACTAAGACTTTTGCTCCTCTTAGGCCTACACTGTGAATGAAACTGTGCTAGCAACAATGGCATTGCTGCTCCTAGTTCAGTTTCTCTGATCAGTTTGGCTACCTGAGAATCACATTAAATCTATGTTATGTAGTCAGGAACATGGTTACTTTCTATGGGAGTTAGTCAATGTTCCCAAATACACTAAAAGATCCACTGTGTAAGCATAACCAGTTACAACAGCCATCACCTGACAGCGCCATGGTTACCGACTGAGAGCTCTTTCACAGCTCTGCTCAGGAGCACAGCATTGATACACAACTACACACAAGGTGCGTAGAAACAGCCACATTACAAATTAAGTAAAAACCTATAGACTAAACAGAGTATATAGACTAGGGAGATCAGTGTCCTCATAAAGAACACAAAACAACCAAATCCCCTTTCCATCCAATCACCCTCTCTATCCGATCGGCAACACACGGCATGTATGCTAGAAGTGGATAAGGTTTTGAGTGGTGTGGTTGCGTGACGGATGGCTCCCCGTGCCGCAGCTGGGTCAGGGTGAGGTTGTCCTTGCTGGGGCAGCCTCACCACAGCCCCGGGTCCTGCTCTGTGGCAGAGGTAGCAGAGCGGGGCTGCTCTAGGAGCCACAGCGGGGGCTGGGCTGCGGTGAGGCTGTCCCTGCTAGGGTAGCCTCGCTGCTTCCCCAGTTCCTGCTCCGTGGCAGTCACACAGCCTGACCAGCCGGGCTGCATAGCAGGCCACTGCTTTGGAGGCTGGAGCTGCTCTGGGGGCAGCCAGCCCACATGGAGGAACATGACTGTTCCAGGGGCTGGAGCTGCTCCAAGGGCGGCTGGACATGGCAGAGCAGGGCTGCTAGGCCATGTGAGGGAGTGGGGCAGGCTGGAGCTGGACTGGAGTGCAACAGATGCGGTAAGGAGGGGGCTCATTCTAGGACGCAGTTTTCCTCCTTCGGTAGGGGGTGTGAGGAGCTGCCTTCCAGCCCGTCCAACACGTTCACCTGGGAGTCCCGTCCCTGCATCCTCCAGCCTGCCAGTCTCCGCCCTGTTGCACAGCCCTAGCCCTACAGCTTCAGCACTCCCTGCTCCACTTTCCTCCCTTTCTGCCTCGTGATGTCCCTGGCAGGCGGGCTAAAGACAGTGCTGAAGTCACGTCCCACCGCTAGCACCACCACCACGGGGCCCCCACTAGAGGGTGAGTGCTGCTCGGGCTGTAGCTCCGGGGCTGGGTGGCAGCGGCTCAGGGGAGAGGAAAATGCATGTGGGGGTCCATTAGCCCCAGGTGCAGGAAAAGCTGAAATACAGTCCAGGATAGGAGACCAAGCAGGGCACACGGTGGAGAGAGCCCCCCCGAGAGAGTGGCACAGCCCAGGACAGGAGGGTTAAATCTTGGTACACCACTTTGGAAAAGCTGCCGAACCCTGCTCTACATGCAACACTTATTTCTAAACAATGACTATTATAATACATTTGTCCACAAAATACAAAGCAATCACTAAATTTAAAAGGAACAACGTTGACTAGTTTAGATCCAACATTTATTTTCTAAAGAACACAGAAAAGTTTTACAATAATACAAAAATATTACTGTTTTTATTAATCATTAATAGGTGCATTAATAATGTTGCACACACATTTTAACAGATTCATTTTTATGACTGAGCCACTCTACTTGAACTTTTGTAGTACCTGACCAGAGGGAAAAGCTGCTTGGAAACAAAACTCAAACTGACCCATTTTTATTTTGCAATCTGGATGAAGTTAAAATATTAAATAGCACTAGGAGTGTATTACTATAAAGATGACTAATTATTTTTACTAATAAAGTGTTTTAATAATCTATTTTGTTATTATAAACTAAAGAAACTTACTGTTGTAAATATATAAATGTCCAATCAATAATTTTGCTTTATGTAAACAGTATTCAGTTTTATTTCTTTATGTTTACCAATGGGAAAAACAAAACGAACCAAACCAGATGTTTGTAAAAAAAAGAACCAAATTTCTGATAAGTGTGGTCTGTTTCATTTAGCTCAGCCCCTGACAAGATACTTTTGAGGACTGAATTGCTTACAGATAATGTTGTGCCTGGCTGTACGAACTTGGTATATATCGACATCTGCACGTGGAAACCCTTCAGCATCAACCAGCGGCTCGTTCATCCCGACTCCCTTTTGCTGCAGAATGGAAATACTTTCATGCGTCAAGTATTCTTGAGACAAGTTACATTTTGTTTCTCATTTTTAAAGGACAAAAATATGGCACCTGTGGTCTCAACAGCTTGTTTAGTAGGTTGAACTCATAGGTCAGAGTGGGTTAGTACAGCATATAGGTAAGAACCAGCTACCAGTACTGGCTCGTACACAACTGACATTATAGTGCTGCTGTGGCAG